ATATGTGTATACGTGCGTACATATTCCTGCTTATTCAAGGCTCATCGTCGTAATAAATATTTCGGAATTCTATAGATATCGTTCTTTCGGGTCGTAACAATAATAATACATTACAAATTTGTTTCTCCCCTGTTTTATCGGCGCCATCATCTCACTTTTCCTTCTTTTCCTTTTCTTTTGTTTCTTTTTTCCTTTTTTCTTTTTTCTTTTTTCTTCCCCTCCTTCATTTCTCTCTTCATCGAATTCTGTCGATTATTAAAAATGTATTACTTACTTACTTTTACTTACTCACTCACTTACTTAGAGTGCTTTAGCAAGTAATCTTTGTATTTATTATTACTATGCTGAAACAAGTTCTTTTTTTTTTTTTACTCGTATTTAATAATAAAAGGGGAAGGAGCACGAAAAAACGTGTAACAGTAGATAGATAGATAGATAGATAGATAGATAGATAGATAGATAGATAGATAGATAGATAGTTTCGCACGATAGCAACTATAATTAGTCTGGAATAAGTGTTAATTAATTAATCGAATGGAAAGGAGAAATGAGGGAAAGGGAGTAATAATAAACGTTTTAAATTAATCGGTTTCCATCGATATTCGATCCAGGGGAAAAAAAAAAAAGAGGAGAAAAACAATCGATTCGAAAAACTTGCTTTGTAGATAAATGCTTTACATTTATTTATATTTATGTATTATTACGCGTGTATGAAAATTGAAAGAAAATTACGGGATAATGATACGAATGAACGAACGAGAAGAAAAAGAAAAAAAAAAAAAGAAAGAAAAAAGATAGATCGTCGGCATGACCGGACTCAGCCATGATCACCAGACATATTAATTTTCTGCACGAAGTTTATGAGACTTGTTTTTAATCTGGTCAATATATTTTCATCCTGTTTCTTGTTGATCCTTCTTACGTTGAGAAAAAATAATATATATATATATATATATATATATATATATATATATATATATATATCAAATAATAATAGTATTACATCTCAATAGGATGTACAAATTATACGTAATAAATAAGATCAACAAGACGATACAATCAGATAAAAAAAAAAAAAAAAAAAGAAGAAGAAAACGTCGTAACAATTTGACTCGTGAAAATTGAAAAAGACATAAAAAGGAATAAAGAAAGAAAACAATTATTACAAACGATTAATAAAATGCAATAAATCACGATTAAAAGGATGACGTATTTATCGCCTGATCGTTCGTTCGATCGGCATACGACAACTGCCGAAAAAAAAAAAGTAAAAAAAAAAAAGAAAAAAAAATTAACTTGATAATGTGAGAAAAAATTCCTAATAAATTACGAATTGTGATATGCGTTTAACAGAGAACGTTATTAACATATAATGTAAGCGACGGTGCAACACGTGATATGTTTTACAGAAAAGCGCGTGCAATATTATGTAACTATGTTACACCACGTGTCTCTTCGGGAGCTGAAGCTTGGTTATCGTATTACGATGTACGAATTATAAGAGAGAGAGAGAGAGAGAGAGAGAATACGACATATATATATATATATGCATGGTTCTAGGAATTCAAAGTAAGATTAAACATCTTGATAGTTTATGATAAAGTCAAGAGATACTATTAAATAATTTCATTCTCATGACGGATTATCAAATTATTTATCAAAGTTTCATTTGAATTCTAAAGACAATTTTAAAAGCCGCCACTATTCTCATATAAAATACATTTATATATAATAATATTGATAAAAGCGTACGGTGAAAGAAAGAAAGAAAAAAAAAAGGTCAAACATTAGAATATATTATTTATATAAATTATTTTTATTCGATTTGACGTACCTAAGCGATATCTAAAATAATAGTTTCTATTTATTCTGGGGTCGTACCCTATGGATATTATCGTTATCAAATGAAATAATGGAAAAAATTATAAAATTTCTCTATCATATTTAAATTATTATATAATCGATCAGAAGACAAGCGCCAAATTTGCAATGCAGAGTGATATATAATTTCTTTTTTTTTATGCTATACATATATCCATTAGATATTATGATAATGTTGTTTAAAGAGAAAAAAATAACTCTGTTAATTCAATCGCATTATCAGAAATAAAACGGAATTATAGTTTACGAACGAAACAATATATTTCTTAACTTACCGTATCACGATATTTTCTATTTGAAAATCCTAACATGATATACAATTGTTATTCTTCGTAATTGAAACCGTAAAATATACATAATATATATATATATATATATATATATATATGTGTATGGATGTGTGTGTGTGTGTGTCACATATACGCATGAAACATAAACTTTACCGACCATCTTTATCAAATAAACAAACAAAAATCGCCTTAATCTTTTAATAAAGCTACAATTTAATAATTAATCGTTAAAATCTTTACAGAAAGAAAAAAAAACTTATTTATTTTCGTCTATGAAAAAAATAAAGAAAAGGAAAAAGAAAAGATAGAAAAAAAACCAGCTTATAAATCTTACGCAATAACATGATATATAATAATTATAAAATAATATGATTAATATCTTAACATAATAATAAATTAATAAAAATTGTATGACATTACGATATATTAATATAAATAATAAGCTTTTTTAATAAAAAAAAAAAAAAAAAAAAAAAAAAAAAAAAAAAAAAGAAAATAATGTTTCGTTTAATCTTTGTTTTCCTATACAAATATAAAAATAGAATACGAGAAGTTGTCGCAGGATTGCGGTTTTCCGTGCATGAGATCCGGAACAGAACGATATTCTATAAAACCTCAAAGAAGAACACGTGGACGTGCTTTACGGAAACGCACGCGTAAACGTAAAACATTTACGTAACCTCTCGTGCTTGAGAACAAAACGTCGCAGATTTGCGATTGTATTTCTCTATATATATCCCTATAATAATAAAATGTACACACTGTGTATTGCGAATATATATGTACATAGAGTTTGGAATCATAAAAGCGAACGTGACGTTTTCTAATGTAAACCATCGCGAGATATATTTGTACGAGAATATATCATAAATCTGTACGCACATACATACATACATACATACATACATACATACGTATGTACATATTATTTACCTTTCGAATAATATGAATCCAATGTATTTTTTCTTCCTCGTTTACAAATGAAGATCAAAAGGACACGTATATTAACCTGTACTTATATATATACATAATATATATATATATATGTGTGTGTGTGTGTGTGTGTGTGTGTGAGTGTATCTCTCTCTCTCTCTCTCTCTCTCTCTTTCCTTCGCTCTCGCTCTATCTCTCTTTCCTTTGCTCTCGCTCTATCTCTCTTTCTGTACTAAATGATTTATGCACACATACATACACACACACACACACACATATATATATATATATATATACATATCACTTTTATAGAAGCATTATAATAATGATCGAATCGCAATTACGCTCAAAAAATTGAACGACGATGTTACGCGCGACCTCCGAGGATCGGTTACTTAAATAGGGATGCGAGCATTTATTTTATCGTCGTTAATTGAAAGCGATTTCACGAAGGGTAAACGCCGACTAACGACGTCGTTCGCTTCGACGAGAGTTCACTGACATTATCAACGACCTTGAACGCGACCTTACCTAAGGTTACTTACTTACATTCTCTCTCTCTCTCTCACTCTCTCTCTCTCACTCTCTCTCTCTTTCTCTCTTTCTTTCTTTCTTAGCACCTTACGGACGTTCACGCTGTAACAATTTACCGTCTATCTTCTTTTTCTCCTTTCGTTTGTCTTCCCATTCTAAATTGTTTCACCCTTGACCGCTCGTCCCGAGTCATCCTCGAGACACCAAAATTCGAAACGTAGTGAAAGACAACAACGATGATGACGACGACGACGACGACGACGACGACGACGACGACGACGACGACGACGACGACGACGACGACGACGACGTTGTTTGCATAGAAAACGAGATCCTTAGAAAGGAAGCATAGACACGTTTCGTAGATACGCATGATTTGTCACCTTACCGTAAGAATATAAACAACATTATTTCTTTGTTACCAATCGTATCTCATCGTTTCACTCATCGTATCTCCTTGATTCGCTTCCTCTCGCCTTCGTCTAACTATTATTATTTTTCCCTTAAATCCTGAATCTTAAATTCAAAAATTGAGACTCAAGGATAATTCTCTCTCTCTCTCTCTCTCTCTCTCTCTCTCTCTCTCTCTCTCTCTCTCTCTCCTTTCATTCTTCTTTCGACTTTTCTCAAAAGTCTAATATTTTTCTCTTTTATTTTTTTTTTTCCTATAGACATGAGGATCCCATGATCCTACAGCTACAACGTAAATATATACGTACATAATATATATATATATACCTTCGTTCATTTGTGACTTCTTCGTGTAGTGGGGATAGGTAAGGTAGGTAGGTAGATAAATGAAGGGAAGTGAAGAGGGTGTGGGATGGGAGGGAAGACGGGAAGAAGATAGGAATTTCAAAATGTTACATGCCCGCGATAGTTCTTACTCAAGAAGCGCGTATAGACAAACTGTGTGGTATAAAGTTTGCCTCGTTGGATCACATAGCACTGATAATTACGTAATATTAAGCAACGCGCCGAGTATTGCGACAAACACGCCGTGTTGCTTTATCGGTCACCACTGTGTTGATATTCTCTCATTAAAAGACGAAAGAGAGACATAGAGATAGACAGAGAGAGAGAGAGAGAGAGAGAGAAATATCTCTCCCATCGTGAAGTTTCATTTAAAGGACATTATTTGTCGAACTTTGATACTTTCGTCTTTCCAAATTCGATAATGATGTGAAAGATCTTTAATGGGAGGGGATATAATACAAAACAACCGAGAGAATTTATTTTAGAATTAGATGAATTTTACGTTTTCGGCGGATTGAAAATGCTTGCGTAAAAAAAAAAAAAAAAAAAAAAAGAAAAAAAAAAAGAGAGAGAGGAGAGAGAGAAGAAAAAAAGAAGAAAAAAGAAAAGAGAAAAAAAACCATGAAAAAAAGAGGAGGAGGATGGGAAAAAAAATGATAAAGACGTTCCTCAAAGAGCTACAGACGATTTGGCATTTACATGTTTGTGCGTATTAAGGATCGCCGCTCGTAAAATGTAGCACGAAATACGGTCTATGCAAAGTCTCTCTTAATTTACAATTAAAATTCGACACGGTCTCATACACAGGCGAGCTTGTGCATGTACGCACGTACGCACGCACGCACGCACGCACGCACGTACGCACGTACGTACGTACGTAATATGTACGCTCTCGCGCGCACTTAGAAAGATTTTATATGAAAGATCGTATATAGCTATGTACGGAGATAGGAAGCTTAGCTTGTTCTTTATCTGTAAAATCTCGAATGGGGAAGGCAAACGATCGATACAATTCGCGATCCTCTCGAATGCGTGTTCTCGCGTGACGAACGGCCGAGGTTACCGAAGGAGGTCAACCATCTGTAGGAATCGCAAAACGTTTCCTCGTTCCTGATTCCTAAGCGGCGCAGTTATGGCCTTTTCCGACGAAGTGGACGTTAACGTTCAATCGTCATCGCCATGCACGGGATCTCGTTCGTTCGGAACGCACGTGTACATATGTATGTACTATATAGACTATTATGCGATAGTTTAAGAGGAAGGAACATTGAGAGATACGCACGCTAGTTAGAAAATTACCTTGAAGAAAATCGATTTGTTCCATGTATGACAAGGCCCCTCTTCCCCCACCATGCCTCTCTGTCTTTTCCCCAAGGTAATCCAAAGAAAACTATTACGAGTCGATGATTTCTTTTTTTTCTTCTTCTTCTTCTTCCTCCTCCTACTCTTCTTCCACTTTATTCGAGGAATAAAGAACGTATTGATAATCGATAAATTTACTGATCTTTCCTGTACGCAATATTGATATTATTAGAACGATCATCGTTTCGATCCTGATTTAAAAAAAAAAAAATAAAAAAAAAGAAAAGAAAACAAAAAAAGAAACAAACAAATACGATCGTTTTACTGTAAACTACTACCATATATCCGTGCACGTATTTCCATTCTCGATACGTACGAATCCGACGGTATCCATATTTTTATATTTACAAACTCGAATCTATTATCATCGTTATATCCTCAAAATGATCTCTTACATCACCGTAGAATAATAATATAAATATATAAACGTGTAGCCAAACTTATTATATATTCTATTATTATGACATTTCGAGTTCATCGGGCGATAATCATTGTATTACCTACAAAATGAACTGACACATTGATAAATCGAATTGAAACCTACGATCTTTTTAATCTTGATATAGCCGTCTAATCTTGTTTTTTTTTTGTTCTTTTTATATGTTTTAGATGTGCTAAGAAGACGAATTATGGTGGCAGAATTTGTCGCCCGTCAGAGTGGATCGCCCATAAATGGTGAGACCGCCTGTCTGAATAGCAACATGCCGGCCAGCCACACAATGGCGCACGCAGGTCACGCTGGCCACGGTGGTCACGATGCTCACGGACCACTACCGCCACTTACACATCCGGCTCATCACGGTGCTCCTATTCAACAACAACAGCACCCACCGCAGCAGCAGCCGCAACAACCACCGCCGCCACCACCTCAGCAGCCTTCGCATCATCATCACCATCACCATCAGACGCAACAGCAACAACAACATCATCAACAGCAGCAGCAGCAGCAGCAGCAGCAGCAACAACAGCAACAGCAGCAGCAGCAGCAGCAGCAGGCGCAACAGCAGCATCAACAACAGCAGCATCTTCATCAAGACGCACAACAGGTGACACATCCCGAAAACTTCCCCCCGAACTTCGACATCAGAAAAGAGCTCTTTTCCCAGCGCAAACAGCGAGAGTTCATCCCGGACAACAAGAAGGATGACAGCTATTGGGACCGGAGGAGACGCAATAACGAGGCGGCCAAGCGGTCGCGTGAGAAGAGGCGATTCAACGATATGGTACTCGAGCAGCGTGTCATGGAGCTGAGCAAGGAGAATCACATACTGAAGGCGCAACTCGAGGCAATACGCGACAAATTCGGTATATGCGGGGAATCCGTTATAAGTACGGAACACGTGTTAGCTGCTTTACCCGCGGAACCACCAATAAGCGTCAAGAGGGCGAAACTACCGGCCTCAGCAGCCCTCCTTTATGCGAGAACACCAAGTCCCGTTCACACATCGGTCATCCATCAGCCAGTTAGCGGTGCCAGATCGCCAAGATCACCGGCACAGCTTTACGTTCCCGAAACAACCGCTTATCCGGAAACGGAAAGCTTCCAATATCCTTATCCGCATCCAGCGATGCATCTCGATACGACGAGCGCATTGAATTTGTCGCGCGGACGAAGAGCACAATCGCCCTTCGAGTTGTCCTCCGGTAGCGGCGATGAGGGTGGACCACAATTGATAGTGAATTCTTCGGCTAATAACAGTTTACCGCACAAACTCAGGCATAAATCGCGTATAGGTGACAAGGACGCAGCAAGTGCTCTATTAGCGTTACAAGGAATAAAACAGGAGCCAGGACCGAGAGCGTCGCCGCCATGGGACAATGAGGGTTCCAGCGACGAACGAGATTCTGGTATATCATTGGGAGCCGAATGGACTGGACCAAGCGTGGCTACCGTCCCGGAAAGTGAGAGGGAAGTCAAGTCAAGGCTCGATCGTCTTGCATCCGAAGTTGCCTCATTGCAGTCCATATTGCGCCTTGGCAAGCCAACCGACAGTCTTATGGCTGGACACCCATTGCCAACTAACGCAACGACACATAATGGGCCATGAACGAATGTCATCATTTTTGTTCTGTTTTTTTTTTTCCTTTTTTTTCTCTCTCTCTCTTTTCTTTCCTTTTTATTTTATATACGAGCTTGTGCCGACGAAATTTATCCTGTTCGAACTATCATGTTTTTATTATCTATCTTCGAGATGCGAAGTTGAAATCGATTCGATCACGAGGTCCGTTCACGTCCCGACGAACTTTTGTTTTTTTTTTTAAAAGGACGTACTCGTCGATCGGTTCTCTCGAACGAAAGAACACGAACGGAGGGCGAAAGGGAGGGCGGGAGGAAGAGAAAAGGGTGACCGATTCCTTCATCCAATGTCGATTATTCGCAAAGCGAAGAAGCATCGATTTTCTCATATTAGCGGAAAAATGAACTCGATTCCCGGAGCTTCTCTTTCTCATTCATTCGCTTTGCATTCGATGATTATTTGTCGAGAAAGGATGGAGAAGAAAGAGGGGGGGAGGAGACCCTTTGCCGGACGGATATTCCCTCTCTCTCTCTCTCTCTCTCCGTGTTCTCCCCTCTCTCCATTCCTTTCCTCTTCTCTTTCCTTCCCTTTCCTTCCCTTCCATCCCCTTTCCATAATTTTCCCCACCAAGTCGCCGTCGTCGTTGTCGACGTCGTCGTCGTCGCCGTTGTCGTCGTCGCCGTTGTCGTCGCCACCGCCCCCTCCCCCTCTCTCCCCCGACCGACCCACTTCGCCCTCCCTCCTCCCCGTAATGCATCGACGATGCTGTCGCAAAGTAGTAACTGATAAAGGAACGAAATGATACGATATTTAGGTTACTCGTTATTATAATTATGTTTCTATAAGATCTTTAAGCTATTCGTTATAAATATTTTATTCATTATCGTTATTAGCGAGTTTGTTAATTTGGAAGAGTCGTGTATCGCTAAACACATATATACATATATGTATATATATATATATATAACTGTATAATACATATATATGTATATATATATGTATAAGATACGAAAGTACGAGTTCATTCGAATGTTATAGATCGTTTCTGAAGATTTAATGTAATATAAGTAAATGAATCCTTAAACGAAGACTTTCTCGTTTTGAAAATATTCTTATCGATTTTTCGGCGAGTATCGATGCAATACGTGCATCCATCATACGTATGTGAAAAAAAAAAAAAATCTAAAGTGTAATTCATGACATTTTAGAAGGAAGAATCGCAACGAGAGTCATTATTTTTTCTATACCCGCGTGAATTTCTTTTCTTTTTTCTTTTTCGTCCTTTCTTTCTTTTTCTTTTTTTCCTTTTCTTCCTTTTTCTTTTTTCTGTTTTCTGTCCTTTCTTTTTTTCTTTTTTTTTTTTTTTCTTTTTTTTCTTTCTTTCTTTTTCTCTTTTTTATCCTATTCCTTACGTGCCGTATTCATCTAAGAGGATTTACTTTTAAATATAATAGAGAAGTTTTAAGCCGCTTTCGCATGAACATTTTCTATATGTATTACATAAATGTACTTCCGTTCTCTCTTCGACTTGTTAATACGATATCTCACAAACGTTACCATATATTTTGTGAATATAAATATGAAAATTTCATTTGTATAGAATAATAAATGTAAGAAAAATTTTATCCGACAAAATTATAATCCGTTCGATTTGAAACGTGAAAACGACGATTGGGAACGTTCGCGCGAAAGCGACTTTATTCTACGATTTAATATAATCGTGATCGCGCAACCGGCTATCTCACTACCACGAAAAGATACGTTTGAAAGTTAAATTTCGTATCGCGTCGAGATCGTTAACAGTGAAGCAATAGATAAGCTCTCGTTACGATATACCATCCATGAAAAGAATACCATTTTGATTTTCTTCATACGTAAATGCGTAGACCAATATATATATAAACATGTCGTTTAAACAAGAATAGATACGTGTATCATACGAATACACACTAAGTTGCCTTACTAGCAGTTTAGTCTATATAAATATATATATATGACACACGATAAAATCAAAAAACAAAAAAAAGATAATTATCATTATCTTGTTTTTCTTTTTTTTTTTTTTTTTTTTTCTTAGAAAATTCGAGCCTTTTTATACGTAAAAACGAATAAATGCATTCTATATGAAACGATACGAAATTGTTACGTTCGCCGAAAAAGGAAGAATGAAAGAATGAAAGAAAGAAAGAAAAAGTAAATGAAATAAATCGATCAATAAAGCAAAATAAAACTCTCTGAGCTTTCTTACGAGAAATCTTCGTGATCGTGTATTTAGAATCGTTTTCATTATAATATTGTAATAATTTTATCGTAAACGTTTCTTTTTTTTTTTTTTGTCTTTTCGCCCTTTCGCCCTTCGTCCCTACGCACCTCATCATCCATCCACCTTCTCGTGACTGTTTTTTCTTTTATTAATTTTTCTATCTATCGATGATCGTAAACGAGATGCGATCGCGCGCGCATATATCTACGTATTTAAAAGGATCGACAATTATTAATCATGCAGATTCAGAAAGCATGTATACATATATACACTGTAGAATTACGCAACTGCAGTTTGTGCTTTGCGCAGCACCGTTTCAATTTTATTTATCAAAATATCGGCAAAAATTTTTTAAATATCATCATCGGACCTTCGTTATAAGCCGAAATTCGTCGTCAATCTTTAAACCGATATTTAGGATCAAAGTATTAAGTGAGCCTATAGTTATATATTAAAAACGTAAATAAATAAATAAATATATATATATACATATATATATATATATATATATATATATATATATATATATATATACAAATTAATGTATTTTTCGATGTCGCGATTATGGCGAGCGGTTATTATTTGCAAATTGTCGATTTGCCGTATGAATAAACCAGTTTCATCGAATCGAAACGAAGAAATGTGTCGTCGTCCGTTGTACGTCTCATTTACAATGCAATGAAAAAAAATTTTTTGTGAAAACAAAATTGAATGTTTTCGACCAACGAATGACTGATTTTCGAGAGAAAGGCGGACGAATTTTGCAAAATGTAAAAAAGTTATTTGGAATATACGTCCTATTAAAAAAATTTACATATGCCTCTGTGTCTAATATATAACGTATTGTATACATAATACATGTACATAATAAGTCATAGTAATATTCGAACACTTTATGAAATTAAATGACGCGTATATTTTTATTTTTCTTTTTTTATTTTTTTTTTTGTTTTTTTTGTTTTTGTTTTTTTTTGTTTTTGTTTTTTAGACTAATCGCAAGCAAAGTGTTCTAAAGATTGTTTAGTGTACCTATATACAATATAATTTGTGTGGCTACATATAGTATATGAAAGAATTGAAGATAAAAATTATTTTTACAAATACAAAATGAGATTCTTTTTTATGATATTTCGCCGAGAGATTTTATAAAAAAGAAAATAATAATAATAATAAAGGAAAAAAATTATAATAACTGATCGATTTTTCTGTGACAAAATAAACATATAAGAGACAAGGAGATCTACAAAATATTATTTCTTTAAGCTTTAGATAGCAAGTATAAACAAAAAAAAAAAAAAAGCAAAAAAATTCTCATTTTGTACCTTTAACATTGTTAAAATAAAAAACAAACTATTTTTTCTCTTGTTTCTTTTTCTTTTTTCGTATTTTTTTTTCATCGTCATACTTCATTGATAACGCACTAATTATTTTATTTTCCACGTTATTCCATTTAAAAATTATACACGGGGCATTTTGTTTCTAGATAAAACGAAAAATTAATTTTGAAAATTACAGTTTGACGAATACGTAAGGGGAAAAAAAAAGAAATAAAAAAAAATGAAAATGAAAAGTAAAGAAAAAAATAGAAGGAAGGGAATAGAAAAATGAAAGGATAAGAAAAAAAAAAAGAAATTTAAGAATTTGAGCCATTCGAAATACCATATGTTTTGCTATGATTGATACGAACGAATCGACCAGTTTGTACGATTTTTTTTTTTGGCGTCGACGATTTAACAGTGATCAACATTAACCGAAAGCCATCATTGTAATTACGAAGCGTACCTTTATTTATTATTACACCGACCGCCTATTTAACGAAAGCGAACGATCGCGATCGACGATTAAAATTGATCGATCTAAACGTAACCAAGACGTAACGAACGATACTTGAGAACGATCAATATCGTCGATCAATTCGTCGTTTGAATCACTTCCAAAGCAGATCGGGGAGACACTTGATTTGTAAACACATTCATTAAGATTTATATATATATATATTTATATATATATATATAAAAGAAAAGAAAATGAAAAAGAAAAAAAAACACATAAACACACCTAACAAGACTGTTTATTATAATCGGCGTTATTCGCGTAAAGATCTCGCAACGATTTTCTTATTTTCTCCTTATCTCTGTCTCTGTCTCTCCCTTTTTCTATCTTTGATATTCTTTTGTCTTGTTCTTCCTTTTTGTTCGTGTTAATATTTTTTTGTAATTTTTTTTTTTTTTTTTTTTTTTTTTTAATTGAACGCTCTGCATTTCGTACGCCACGTTATATTGTATATATGCATAAATAGTATACGCCAAAATTCTGTGAATGACAGTCGAAATGATGCCGTTTACCAAAAGATTCATTAATAAGACAGGCTATCAAAAGGAAAAAAAAAAAAAGGAAAAGAAAAGAAAGCAAAAGACATTACAGAAATAAAAAAAAAAAATCATGCTTAGAAGTAACGTCCAAAAATTGTAAACGTTGTATTTTGATTATTTAAAAAATATCAACCCGCGTGCTCGAGGACAAGCAGCGTATGCACGAAAACAAACACACATACACGTAGAAAAATACAAAATAAATATGATCTTAGCAATAAAATTCTGTTCTTCAAAAGATCGCTTCTTATTCGTAAAGAAAAAGAAAAATAAAAATAAAAATTAAAAAAAGAAACATGAAACAAGTAACGTGTAATGTTCGTGTTAATTCTATTTTGTTTTTCTTTTATTTTTTTTTTTTCTTCTTGTGTCTCCTTCTCTCGTTCGAACGTCATAATCGACGAACAAAAAAGAAAAACTTTGGATTTGTTCAATTCGACAATTCAAAGAAGAGAGATTTACAATTTTGAAAAATAATAATAATAACGAGCGAAATATATTGTCATTAACTTTCTTCTTCGTCCGCAGTTTGTATAAGAATGAAAAAAAAAAAAAAATAATACGATAGAGTGGATATTAAATAATTAATAGATTAATTGCTGTATAATATTACCGTGAGTGCCTACTAAATACATACATACATATATACATACACATATATATATGTATATATATATATATATATATATATGTATACACACATGTATATACGAGAGATAAGAGTTGAATGTATCCATCCCTCTGTGTTACACTTTAATGAATCCAGAATTGATTAATTTTATAGCCCTCTAAAAAACTAGGCAAAGTAAGCACGTAATAAAATGAAAAACCGTGTGATTAAGAAGGAAGAGAAGTAAAAAAGAAAAAGAAGAAAAAAATAGTACGGTTGAAGATAAAAAGTCAATGGGACTACAATGTGAAAGAACAAAAACATATACATATATGTATTGTTATAATATATGTATGCGTGTCGTTTTTATGAAACTTCGCAATGCGGGGAAATAATTTTAACGCGAACGATGTGTCCTTGTAGTCGAGGAAGAATAAAATAGATCAATATCAATATCAGACGGCTTCCTCTCGAACAATAAAGGATCGGTAAATCTTGGGTGTCGACGTACGTAATGTTTATGTATATATATATATAATTATGTATACATATACATAAAGTAACAAAATGCACTTTTGCCAAAAAGCACGCTAGTCGTGCCGTCGAATGGCGTACATTTTTTCAAGGGACGTTTTAAAAAAAAAAAATCGGCCGGAGAAGGAATTTCGTTACCCTATTGTTGTAATAATAATAATAATAATAATAATAATAATAATAATAATAATAATAATAATAATAATAGTAATAATAATAATAATAATAATAATAATAATAATAGTAATAATAATAATATTAATATTAATATTAATATTAATAATAATAATAATAATAATAATAATAATAATAATAATAATAATAATAATAATAATAATAATAATAATAATAATAATAATATTAATAATAGTAATAACTTGCGGGTGTATTCAAGACAGTTCCTACATATACAAATGCTAAAACAGAGTTAGGTGGTCGACTGTTGTCTATTAAAATATGACGATGATGATGATGATGATGATGATGATGCTGATGATGATGATGAAAATGATTACGACTACGATTATGTATGATGACGAGGAGATATCACGATTCCAATGTAAGCTTCTTGATTTTCCTTTCTCCGGCTGTTCCGGAGTTGTATGTATTTTAGATTTAAGAGACATATCCACAGCGTGTAGTGTACTTGTATATGAACTATCAAAATAAATATTTTCAATGTTTTTCACAATATTTGATAAAATTTTTATTAAATCATTAAACAATCCTATCTATTTCCATGAATCAAATGACAATGCGACAGTCATATTATTCATTTCATTTATTAATTTTTAAATGATAATGCAAAAAGAAAATCAATGGCTAACTCTTTAATCTTTTATTCTTTATTATACATATTTTGACGAAATTCATTTTTTGCCTATATATTTTTTATATATTTATATTTTCCACGTCATTTAAGCGTGAGATAACTGCATGATTCCATTCATATATCTAATCACATATACATTATTTTATATTAATATCCTTATTCTCTCAGTATGCAAGTGATCTCTTTTCTTTTTTTTTCCTCTCTTTTTCTTTTTTTTTGCTGTAACGAATCTTTTTATTTTATTTTAATTTTTTCATTTTTTTTTTAGCTTTTTTAGTTTTTTTTTCTTTTTAGTTTTTTTTTGTTTTTGTTTTTTTGTAAAAGTTTTTCTTTCCAATGTTTTCTCTATCTAATGCTTTTCATTAATCATTTATTTTTAAATAATTATGTATATTAATAACCGGAAATAGTATAATATATATATGTATATATATATATATATTATATAAATAATCAACGTTTCTGCACGTGCAAAGAACAAATAGCATTTTGCATGATATATAATTTCCTTCGTTATTTTATATATGAATTATATATAACTATTAATTTTTGTTCCGTTAAATTTTTATTATTTATTATATTCCTCTAATACCAAG